CGATGACGTCATGATGACGTCACCTCAATATTTATTTGTAACACATCCCGGCCTACCCCCATACCAAGTTTCAACCCAACCTGACGTACTGTTCATGAGATATAGGGGCTTAAAATATACAAGTTAACGATGACGTCACATGTCTAATGATGACGTCATCGTAACAATACTTGGCAGTGCTCATTATTTTATGGTGGTTTTAGTCCGTACCAAGTTTGAAAAAAATCGGATTGATAAAAGTGTTAAATTTTCTAAGCAGAATAAAATTGGCAATATTAAAAAAATCTTTAAAAATCGACCGATGACGTCATCGTGACGTCATTCAAGATTGTGTGTACTAGTGTTATTATCTACCCACCCACCAAGTTTCAAGACGATCGGACATTCCCTTATATGTTTTTCAAAAAATCGCATTTTTGCTGACGTCATTATGACGTCACACATTTTTCCAAATTTTGTGCATTTATCTATTGCCCAGCGAACCTAATACAAAAAGAATTTTGAATTTATCATATTGCGTTAGTGAGATATGGCTTAAAGGTCCAAATCTTCAAAAATCTATATAAAATCACACGATGACGTCATGATGACGTCACCTCAATTTTCGTCTATAACACATCCCGATCTACCTACATACCGAGTTTCAACTCAATCGGACTAACAGTTCTGTAGATATAGGACTTTGTAATATGCACATGAATGATGACGTCACGTGACCCATGATGACGTCATCATGACGTCTATCTTCGCGAACGACCTTTGCTATATGTTCTGTGACTATGTTAAGTTTTGATGTCATATGACTTTGTTTTATGCCAAAAGTGTTTGCTAGAAAAAACGTGCACAAAGTCTATGGCATTTTGGTTGGAAGTCCCAAGAGGAAAAAAAAAAAGAAAAAAGAAAAAAATTCGTAGAGAAACAAAGGCTTTTCCGCAACTTTGCGGAAAAGCCAAAAAGAAAAAGAAAAAAAAAATCTTAACGAAAACAAGAGCTGTTTCGGTGTGTACGCCGAAACAGCTAAAAAAAAATAACAGAAACAAGAGCTGTTTCGGTGTGTACACCGAAACAGCTAAAAAGAAAAAATCTTAACGAAAACAAGAGCTGTTTCGGTGTGTCACCGAAACAGCTAAAAAGAAAAAAAAATCTTAACGAAAACAAAGGCTGTTTCGGTGTGTAACCGAAACAGCTAATAACAACAAATCTGTTGGGATGCGGTCTTATTATAAAGTGTCATACTGCCAAGATATGTGGCCACGGTCAAACCGATATGCGCGGCTTATTGAACACATGACAAAACGGAAAAGGAGAAGAAAGGGGGTCAAGACGAAGCTTCTTCTTGCCTGGAGGGTTCGGGTTGACCGGGTCGGATAGAGGACACCTCGGCAGGTCATCGCTAACCGGAGCACTGGAAATATGCAAATGGCTGGTTATATAGCCAAGTGTGATGAAATTGCGCCTGGAGCTGTTGATGAAACGCTTAGGTGTCTGGCACTAGAAGGAAAGAAGAGAGGTGGGGTGTTGTTTTTCCCCGTCTTGGTTTCAGATCAAAACTCTATAATGGTTTCTCAGCTCACGAATCGAAGACAGGCTATTAAGTGATCACGAGGATAGAGATAATTGAAGACAAGAGTGAATGTGACAGAATTGCATATTGTTTTATGAATGGTAACGGGGAAAGATAAATGGTCGGGGAACGATTATGGCGAGGATGAAAATGAAGATGGTGATGATGATGACATCCATGACAAGTATGACAAGATTGTAACGACGATTAATGGCGACAACAATAGGATAACGATAATGACTCAGTATAACGATGATAATCACGACGACACCGATAATTATATGAAATTGCAAAAGTTCTTATTTGATTTATACATGTACTATAATACATCATTTTTTTTAAAGGACAGTTTGAAAGAATGCGATTTACGTTTATATAAGAGGAGCTCACGTTTGAAATCATTTTGTTGATTTATTTTCTGTGGTGATGAAATCAGTAGCAGAGTTGTGTAATGTAGTGGAACAATAAAAAAGGTATCGAATGTGATAACTGCATTTAAAATGATGACAAGGATTATGTTGTATAATAGAGATCTTGGAAGTGGTTGTCATGACGATGAAAAATAATGTCGATCTTTACGGAAAAGTACTGGACTTTCTCACATTATGTCACATTGTTTCAAAATAGCGATAAATATCTGCCAATGTCATAGATACCTAATCATAAAATATAATCTTGCATAAAAGTACCAATGGCTGTCTTCGTGCTTTTTACATCTTCACTTTTCCTCGAACACTCATTGATTTAATAATTGAATAAAACATGACAATAAACACTCCATTCGACCCCGATGATGCATTGTGGCCTGGAAAGTGCGGCGTTATCGTATTAAGTGTACAGCAGTACCACCCGCCAAAGAGTCCTTACGCACAACAGACAAGAAGAGGAGGAAGCCTATATAAATCATATTATACCTGAAGTCCGGCCAAGCATTAAGGATGTATTTATAGCGAATGAATATATTACACGGAGCCGTGTGGAACGGCGGCGGTGGCTGGTGAACTCCAGATGAACCCGCGGCTGGCGGACGGGCGGAGCGGTCAGTCTCGAGAATTTGCGCCCGCAGATCCTGGCAGCGTCTCTTCGTCTTCGTGCCCGGTGATCAATAGATCTCGAGGTCTGCAGCTAGGGGCAACATTATGCAGTGGTCTATGAATCTGCAAAAAGCTGATGATTATGTATTAAGGGAAACCTCAACTGCTCTATCGTGGGTACATTCGTGTCGTTTTGGTCTTGAAAGTTGGCGAATATGTACACAGAGTGAACACAAACTTATCAAAAACAGCTCTTTTATGCTTCGGGTGGTCAGTGAAATAAATTCCTTCATCCACACACTCATAAAGCGACCATGCTGTCTTTATTTTGTATAAGCTTTTAATTAACAGGTAAACTTTAGCCAAACTTCCGTACAATGGGTGACGTCATTATGACAATAAAAAGGACAAACTGGCTAGGGACAAACTGGCAATGAACGATTGAGGGCGCTCTGTAGCCTATTTACGTTCGTCGAGTGCTACCAAATGGTTGACGATGAACGAATTAAGTGCGTTGTAAGGGCAGGGGCTTATTTTAATTTCATATCATGAAACGATTAGATTTGTCATTTATTAATTTATAAGGGGAAAAATAAACCACTCACTGCCGTAGCACACTGCGCATGCTTGTACTTTAGATGTCGCTGGCCACAGCTTGGCCTAGCCTATATTAATTTCTTAATGATCTCTGGGTAGCAATAAACCATAGCTTATTATTTCGGCCAGTTGCTGCAAATTGCCCTGCCTGCAAGACGATGCAGAGGTAACATGGCGGCCAGATTCCCTCGCGGCTTCCCTCATGTCCACTGCTTGCAACCCCAGACGACAGGTCGGCGCTATACGTGTGGAGTCCAAGCTATCGTTCAACGCACACCGGCGGCTCAGAAGAAGACACTATGACAGCGCCCGGTCAGCAGCAAGCGTTTTCCCGACGGATCAAACCAGCAAGCTAGGCTATCAACACATCCACTGTGGACCTGACCGGTCGTCGAACCCTCATCCCTTTCATTTACCTTTGTTATCTTAGAATGACGGTGTGCACATTATAATGAGAAGTGGGATGTGCTATGAAGAAAGCATCCGAAATTGAAGAATTGAAAAGACGTTGACGGGTTTGGCGCTAGACAAAGAACCCGGAATTGAAGGGCTTACTAAGGTCACAAGACGACGGTTTGCGGCGACCTTGACGCCAATTGGGCAGTTGGTACATCGGCCCGCCACTTGGTGCACTTGGTGATAATCACAGAGGAAGACTGACCTACACGCAAAGAATCGTCGACCGTCCAGTGGAATATTAATATCAAAGAATCCGTGACCCCGAACGAAAAACTGGGTTACGGATTGTCTCTGAATTAGAGTGCACAATGCATGCTGTGTGCCTTACATTTAAGATTAAAAAGTAGGGGTGGTAAAGTCCACCGTCAAAATTTGAAGACGTCCATCTGGGAAATGGTTAACACTATCAATACAAGAATTTTGACACCAAATTTAACTAACGCTGTGTCTCTTAAAATAATAACCCCCACCCCTTGAAATTCAAAATTAACCCCAAAATGGCCTTTTTTGACTATTCTGCCGTTTATACCCTGACTAGTCTTGTTGTCTACGAGTAATGGTGAATTAAGATTCATTATTTCAAATAAGAAACATTTAGTCACAGTGGCATGGAAAGAATTCAGAAAGATGCTTAGCTTTGGCTGCTGCCTTGGATCCCCTGAAAGAGGGAATCTGTCCAGCCCTCAGCTCCTTGCTCTTCTGCAAGACAACTGACCTGCTGACTGCATTCAATGTGCCTAACTTCTCAGTCTGTAGTCCACCTTGCCACATTAATGTCTCTCCATGCCAATGTTTTGCACTAAGGTTTCATCAACGGTGACTCGCCTGGTCGCCAGTGGCGGCGCTGGGTGTGGGGGGGGGGCATTTCTCCCCCCCCCCCTTTTTATCCTTGCCTCCAATTTCTCCCCCTCCCCCTTTCTCCCAACACTTTGTCAACAAACTGATTAATTATGTTTATTTTCTTCGCTTGTTAAGATTCATAAAATATGGACACAATTTGGGCCAATGAAAGCATTATAAACATCGCTACTTTAGACAAAACACGCCACCCTTACAGCCGTAGATAGTGTAGCCGACGTCTTTGTACATTTGTTAAAATTAATTTGTTACACACCATTCTGCGGTTTGATGCATTATTCATTCATAAAAATGAATATATTTCTAAGTTATTCTAGTGGTTTATTTGCCGACCATTGACAGTGGGCACGCACGCGCGTATACACAGGAAATAAAAACAAATTTAAATGCCCCCAAAACTATGTCCTTGCCCCCCCCCCCCCCAATTGTTCCCTCCTCCCTATTTTTTTTTAGAGTCTGGCGCCGCTACTGCTGGTCGCTCATGGGACAGTCCACTGGGAAGGCCTCCTTATCAATCCCATAGTCTTTTCTCTGCCTGGCTAGTCCATTTGGAAAGGCCTCCTCATCAATCCCATAGTCCCTTCTCTGCCTGGCTAGAAGAGTCTGCAGGTGTGGCAGCATTAGGTTGGTCAGCTTCTTCACTTCCTCCATGTGCTAGTCAGCTAAGTCAGACACAGACTTTAGGACCTCCTCCTTGTAGTTCTTTACACCAGTAAAAAGATCATCAGACATCCGAGGGTTCTCGGGCTTTATAAACTTAGTGAAGTCGTCACTGATGGGCTGACCCAACCCTGTGCAGTCCTTTGTAGAACTCTCTGAGCTGAGTATGGTAAGCGTCTTTCTCTGTGGTCTTGGCTTAGAAGGACTCCACGCATGCGCCTCCCGTATTTTTTTCTTCTTGTGACTAGACCCGTTGTTTGGGTTCGCGGTGTCCACAAAATTATGTGTCAGAAAGCTCTAAAATAAGTGTTTTTAGAGGCTCTAACCTTTGGGTTCGACATCCACATGTTTTTATGTAAGTTGAGGTTCATTACTTTGCTGTTAGCTAGATAGAAAGCGTGACATTTGCTTGTGATTTTGGGTTTCCTTTTTGGATCCGTCTCAGTTTTGTTGTGTATAAATTATGTCAGGGCAAGCTAATTAGTTTTCGTGTATAATAATTATGAAGAGTCGGACGTTTTGTAATTGAAAGACGTCCCGTTCATTGTGTTGCAGGAAGTTGCACATTTGCTGTGTCGAGAGACATCTTGCGGGATGGGTGCTATGTTTCTTAAGCCTTGTAAGTGTTAACTTTGAAGTTTATGTTTGCTGGAAAAGACTCATTGTGGCTCTTATTTATGTATACAGCCTTTGAGTAAAAGATTGTTTACTACTCCATCTTGTATTTACCTTCACATTCTTCATTATGGGCCTACATGTATGGATTTTTTTCACACTTTAAGAACACATGTGACAGATCTTTGTAGATGATGCTCTGATTATGACAGGAAGTCTGGAAGCGCACAAGTCTCGATTTAGATGACTGGACATGGTAAACGTACATGTAATCACTTTATTTTATGAAGGTTTGGGACTATACATATATTGGGATTTGGTGTGACATACCCTTCATTTTTCTGCTTGAAATGTACATGTATTACATTGGGTTTTCATGAATGAGTCATTTTCACATGTGTGTTTATAATCTCTAAGGATGAGAATGTTTAATGTTCAGGGCCTTTTCAATTTATTGACAAGAAGTTCGAGTACTTAATGATAGTTTTCATCATTTTGCCTCATAAACATGGAGGACTGACATAGTGTTTGTAATCTCTGTTTTACCGCCAAGGCAAGAGCGAAGTAGTTCTTGGAATAAAGACAAGAGTGCAACGGTCTCCACCGACGTTTACTTCCTGCCGCGTGCATGGTTAGCTACTGGATAGGGGGCGCGCTTGCGTACTCTGAGGCCAATCTAAGGACTGCTGCTGCCCTGGATCCGCCACTGATATAAATAGAAGAGTTGACTAAGATGAACACATTTCAACGAATCATGAATTATTGAACCATGGAGAAATGGATATCCAAAATCTGGGCACACTCCGACTGCCAGTTTCAACCACATTGTACACCACTCAAGCTGATGAACAGGGAGCTTTGCATAGCTTCGCCATAGCGAAGGAAGGGCGCCCACGTGCGGTATATCATGTATTACGATGACGTCATGCTGGCGTATATTAATTCCTTTCCTCCGGGTTCTATCGTAGGGTTGGCCTATTCTCAAAAGAATTGACGGGAATTGTTAGCTCTTCATCAGCAGCCAAAATGCTGTCTTTATAATCATTCAACAACAAAATTCCCACCCCTCCCCTAGCAAACTATACTCACCATAGAATATCTCTTAACACCTTGTGCCCTGGATCTAGTTCCCTGCTTTTACATAATGATTATAGAAGTCTCGTTGCACCAGGTCCCCCCCCCCCGAGCTCTTGGGGGGAAAATGGGGCAAATGTATGCTTTCATAACCTGGGTTAATAAAGAGAGAACCGTGCATATTGGTAGACTTAAAACCTAAATCTTATGAGAATTTAGCCCGAAACCTTATAGTCAAATTATACTAATTTTATCACTTGGTAAAAAGGGGCTATCTACAAAGAATCAACGGCTAAGGGAAAAAAGGTCACCTCGAAACGGGTGACGTCACGGTTGTTATAGCAATGCGATGCCATCAGAACAGCGCTGTGTAAATGGACGGTTTTCCACCGCTGACTTTCGCGCAGGGATTACGAGTGATGGTCGTTTCTTTCGTTTTGTTTTCGTTTTCATTTTTGTTTTTTGGGTTTTTTTCGAGTTCAATTGGACTATGACACAACAAGCATACAACTGACAGTCAGCATTGTGTTTCTGAGGCTCTTTTTCCTTGCACGCGACTACATTCTAGAAACTAAAGATACGTTAAAATTACAGCCTATAAGAGGTAGACTGAAAGACAGACAGACGGACACCCAGACTGGCGCATAAACACCGACAAATTTCTGATTTCTATAAAGAATTGAACATTTGTTAATAAAAATTAACCATCGTTCATCACCGAAACAACTTTTGGTGATGTACTGTGGATGCACTGTGTCCTAAAATTGAACAAAAGTTATTGTGATTAGAAAATAGAAAAAAAAGCTAAATTCCCTTTTATTTCTTAGGTGTTAATTTTAGATTTACTCGACGAGCTTACTTCAGTGTGATACACAATTTTCAATTAAAATGTATGTTTTAATGAACCATGTCGGTCTCAGTCACAAACGGTATTTCAGACACTTGAATTCAAGCCGAAAGTAGAAGTATGAAAGTAAAAAAAAAGGAATTTAAAAAAAAGGAATCTTTTATGGCTTACAATTAGAACACAAGCCAAGTTAAGGTGTAAATCTCGCATTACCGAAAGTAGCTCACGTAATGGTACAATTATGCAGAGCTAACATATCAGCAGATCAACCTTTGCTACACCATGCATGCATGGAACAAATAAAGAGATAAGCAACTTTATCTGAAAGAAAAGTCCAAATGTGCTGGTTGAAAAGCAACTATAAGTATACATCAAGTGTCGGAGCGTTGTCGTAAATCTTTTGATTTGTGTTTTACAAATGGTGCTCGAAGAGCAATATACTACTGTTTTCCTGTTCGAAATATATAAGGCATCTATCGCACAGCATTATCGGTGAAGTTTGTGAAAACCTCAAGCTGGAAACGAAAGGACAAATACAAATAAAAGAATCGTAGCTCAAGGCAAAATCAACAAACTGAAAGAAATTAATTATTAACATTTTCACTAACTTTCTAAATACGGTGGATTTTCCGAGTATTAGAGCATTTGCATGATCTCATTTATTATTTGAAGAGTTTGTTTCCAAAATGCAAAATATCTATTTGAAAAGGGTAAAAGTTTTGCACGGTTATGAAGCTTGTAAGAATAAACGCAGTATAACAGCAATTTCTTAACTTCATTTTTGAATTCTTAAATTGTGTTTAAGACTAGTGTACAACTACCTATAGAAAATGCATTTGGGCAGCCAGAAGAGAGCAGGATTCTAAAAGCGAACAAAATGGCGTAGGCCTATATCGCGTTTTGGAAATAAACTCTTCATTTTATTTTATATCTATTTACTTCAAGATTGCGTCTGAGTAAATCATAGGGCACCCCTAGCCCTCTATAGATCACTTCATAATTCAAATGGCCTTCGATATTTCTTAGGATTCAATTCGCGTGTTATAGAAATTCGCTAATGACCAATGAATTTAGTAAGGATTATGTATCAGGTCTCACAGTAACAGCTGATATACATTGGCCCTGCATCCGGACACCGTATCTAAAGTGACGAGGGAGGCTAGGTTTTCATGTTGCCAGGCAACACATCGCACAGCCCTCTTGTGCGTCGTATATAAAAAAAGAATGCCTGATGAGATCAGTGTAACAACCCAAGTGGTTGGAGTTTGGGAAGACGTCATCGGGGCGACGCTTGCTGGCGCGGCTGGGTAAGGGCACAATCAGCGCAGACTATAGAACGTCGCAGATTATTGGCGGCTGATGACGTCATTCTGTCGTGGCTTATTCTTAAGGAATACATCTCTTGACACCGAAACGGGTCTCTCGACAGGCGCGGTTCTAGAACCAATATTTTGGGGGGGCTAGCAGGGTGGATCCAGATTTTTTTTCAGGGAGGTGTGCTGAAATGTAGACCGGTTATTTTCTCCAGACACTTAGGCCTCCGAAAATCAATAGGTGTTGGGGGGGGGGGGGGGGGGGGGGGGGGGAAGGGGGGGGGAAGGGGGGGGGGGAAGGGGGGGGGGGCTCATGCCATATTTTCAATGGGGAGCGCCAATAAAATCCTAAAATCATGCACACTATATTAACTAATGCACCCTTGTCACGACTATTTCTTTAGGGGGAGACCGTTTGCATGTACATCACAATCCTTCTTTTTGCTAATGCAATTTTTTTTTTAAGGAATTTATTTTTGGGGGGCTAGACAACATTTTTTTTTGGGGGGGGCTTTAGCCCCCCCCCCCCCAGCCCCCGCATAGAACCGCGCCTGTCTCTCGATGGGCTGATTATTTTGTGGGAAAGGTGGTGGGTGCATGGTTTGGAGGAGGTACAAATTGGGTTAGTTTTGAATTTATCTGGGCGGTTACGATTTATACGCACAGTTGGGCGTGTGGGGGAAGGGGGGGGGGCTACGACCTAGAAGTTTGCACTCCTTGCACAGGGCATGAATCCTCAAGAGTGTTAGAAAATAGAAGGGGGCTTGAGTTTTTGGATTGCTTGGATAGGCAGAGGATCAGCTATCTTGATACTGTCAGAAACTATGCTCCACACACACCTGAACTACCTGAGAAAATCTTAAACAAGAATTTCTAAAAGCCAACAAAAACATCTTATACAGGAAAGCTGTAAATTGTTATTGTTAACTCACAAACTTCAGAAACTACGTTCGTGTTATTTATTACGTGGGCGGGCATACTATTTTTGCTTTCATCGGCTATAGACAAAGAATGTAATTATGCAATATTTAGTTGGAGAAGCACACGCACAGGATAAGGAAACTCACGGTAATGAAAGCGATTCTTATATACACTGCAGTTGGTTGGATGCTTTGCAGAGAACGGTTTTGGTTGCGCTCATG